GATCGAGAGGCGATTTACAGAGTTCTAGTGAGGAGCCGTGACCAACAGAGTTCAGCTGTGTCGCGTGTGAGGCAGTTACTCACTGGAGACGATGGAAGTTGTTCGCGCAGTGCCGTGGATTGTTTGGAGTTAGACATTAACACCCGTGGATCCCTGCTCAGTGGTCTAAAGGTTAAGCGTGTAGCGTGGTGCCGAGTAGCGTTTGACTATGAACACCACTACAAGAAGACTACGTGCCAGTTAAGTGACGAAATCCCCCGTAAATCAAATGTCAGAAGGCAGTTGATGACTGTAGTCGAGATGTATTTGTTGGCGATCTCGTGGATATCGAAAGGATACCGAGATCGTGCCAAAGGAGTACAAGCATGGTTACCGAGCGTAACCGAACCCGTGCAAGGTTACAATCGAAAAATAATGAAGGGGTAATACGGCTGTCTTTAGCACAGTTAAACAAACGAGCACAATAAAACAATCACTGGTACAATTGGTTAGAATAATAAATGTTTCGATTAAATCAATCGCGTTCTCTTGGTAAAAGTAGGTCACTACAAGCGTTCACGCGCGAGACTGAGGGTACCAGATCCGAGTTCCGCTTGCAGAATCGTGGATGCGCGCTTCTATGTAGTCTCATACTTGAACGAGACGGCCTTCCAGTGCGGTCTAATACTGATCGGCTCATGATCTCAATTAAAACTACTAATATGCCGCCAACAGCACATCGCCCTCATGAGTGCAGAAGCACAAAGACTTAAGGGCAATAACAAGTCATGACCTAAAAACAACTGCTCATTCCAACGCAGCAGCTTCGAAAGATTCTTGAGCGTCTCGATCACTTCGCCAAGCATTCATATGGTAAGGCGAGATGTTGCGGGTTTTATATCCCGTCTATGTAAGAGTACTGTGTTCAAGCAGCCAGTCCATGCCTCATAAAGGATATTAACAAACTCGAGCGTACGTATCGTGTAAAAACAAAGTTGGTGAAGAGTCTCTTCAGGCTACTTCAAGAAGAGCGCTCAAAACGCCTAAACTTTTTCCTTTATTGTATCGTAGGTCGCTAAGTGACCTTATATCAGCACTCTATATTTTTAATAACGATTTAGGTATAAAGCAAAAACTAACACGGGTCCAAAGACCCACCATCCTTACTACTGAGGACTCTTACTCTAACTGCTGAGAAAATACATTTCGAATGAATTTTTGCGCTCGTAACCCTGACGTGCAATTTTGACCAGTTTGACTGAAGAACTTCCCACTTAATCTTCAACAGTTTTATTTGACTCCATTTAGGGTATGGAAGTGCAGTATTTCCTCTCTTAGTTCAAAAGGATAAAAACACACTGAAACGTATCCAACAGTGGGCGATGAAATCAGTTCGGGGACTCAAATTCAATGCTCACTAGGGGGGCCTCCAATCACTTAACCTTTACTCATCAGGGTATAGACATCTTGGAAGTGACTTTCTAATGACCTACAGCATCCTAAACACTTTTGTGCATCCTTCTTAATACTTACTTAACCTCAGCCTCAATAAACCTTGGGGGTAACACCCAGAGACGGAAAACAATATGGCAGAAAAAACTAGACACACCTTCTACTCCTCAAGAGTAGTCAAGTGCTGGAATTAACTGATGAACTGGCTAGTCCAGATGACTCTCAGGAAACCATTAAGAGAAAGCTTGACAGATTCTTAAGGACGGAAGACAGTATCTCACTAAAATTTACTAATAATTCGATTTTTATCGTTAAGTATACCTAGGGGCCTATCTGAGGACATCGGTGATACATTGCTAATAAATATGGAAGCCTGTTAAGCAGAAGATTCTTCTATTTCGTCTAGAACCATTTGAACCATTTAAAGATTTCAAATACGTAACAATACTACATTTGCACTCTGGCGTTATTATGAACCTTAATGGTTCGGTTACCTAGTTGCCTTGTTCGTCCAAGTATGTACACACTTTGTATTATGGTCAGTTCACTGTAAGTATTCACGAAATTCTCCTAGAAATGCGTAGATTACCATGAATAAGTCAGAAAAGTATTTATCTTCAGTGGTCTACCTAATTAAACAAGGGAAATGTCTATTTTAGCCACTATAGTGGCTGTCTCTATGCTTATAAGCATAGAGATATTTCAGTATTGATGGTAGAAGCCTAGGCGAACTTTAAAAGTGAAATCAGCAAGTCAAGTCACCTCTACTAATCTTCATGGTTCGTAGTGCTTCGTAAATTAATTAATTCATCTCACGTGAAACGTGACGTACGTCCGATACATCGACAGAAAGTGCTTGTAATGATTTTTTTGGTGGTGAATCCCAATAAACAATGCTCCATGTATAAGTAATTTGGTCTTAGTTTTCGAAGATATTGAGATTATTCTATGTAATAACTACATGAAATAAATCAAGGAAAAATAGGTCTGTATCAGCGCTCACAATTCATAGTACCATAAGGAACCAATCCTACCTCAAACGTATCCAAAGATGCTAACATCCTTGTGTTGGCTGAAAACTACAGTAATTTTTGACTCTACATCACATAACACTGAATAAAGCTACTTATAATGTTAAAATAATCTCCAGACGTAGGCCTATGTTTTCTAGACGATTTAATCTCGGTCTGTAAAATTTTATTACTAGCTGTACTCGAGGACAAATCAAAGCTCATGCAGTTAACTTGGACCTTTCCAGAGTAGGGGCTAAAGCTGCTAAAATTTTTAACGGTCAGATTCCTCTTACTCGAATAATTTCTGCATTTTGTCAACTCAAATCATCACAATATATGAGGAACGTCTCATTGTCCGTGAAAACATGGTTAGTCCTCACTGTGTCATTAAATGATAACAATCTCCATATTCTACTAAGAACTTGTAGCACTTCTTCGCTTTTTTGTATTTGTCCTCATTGTGCTTTATTGCGGTTATTTGATTTTACGATCATTACATCACACAATTTAGCAGTCGAAGTATAATTGAATTGACTAACTCACGTGTTAAAATAAGAATGTTAGACATTGGGAGATATTCTAATTGTCAACATTTACATGAAAGTTCACTGTATTTGATTTATTCCAAAACATTCACTTTTTCTGTCTTAGGTTAATTTCCTACGCGTAATCAGAAATACTGTTGTCACTTGGTCTCTGTGTCTTCTCAACATTCCCCTTACCAATTCGTTTGTTGGACGCATTTTTCTGTATTCATATGGAGAAGGAACATCGCGACGTCATTAGGAAGCTGCGTGTTTTTCTTGTAAAAAATATTTCCAACCTTGAAGAAATCCTCGATATACTGGAATCCGCACTAATTATTACTGAAAATCAACGGCACTCAATACTCTCTGGAACAACATTAGCTGAAAAGATACGTAGATTCTTAGATATTATAGTCAGATGTGGCCCATCAGCATATGACAAGTTTAAGCAAGCTCTTCTAGAAACCAACCAAAAGAGTATATATGATCGTTTGAACGAAACAGAGGAACTAAAAGTCCTAGCTGGTCATGGTATATCATCAGAACGCTTATCTGATACAAGAGATGAATCCATTATGATCCCAGATAGAGTTAGCTCACATCCGTTGACACCCTACACTGTAACTTCGTTCCCGCGTGGTTACGTTCTCATAATAAATATAGAAGATTACAGTTGTGAATCCGGAGTACCTAATCGTCATGGTTCGTCACACGATGCATCTAAACTCCAAATTCTATTTGAGGACTTTATGTATAGTGTTGCTGTCATTAAAAATCTAGAGGGTGAAAAGCTGAAAAAAGTAGTGCGAGAATTCGCTTGCAAACCAGAGCATAGTAACGTACATGCGGCTGTCCTTATTATTTTAGCACATGGGTTAGAACATCATATTATAGCAAGTGACGGCACCCATGTTAGCATTGACGAACTTGTTAGTTGTTTTACTAACAAAAAGTGCCCTCTTCTAGCTGGAAAACCTAAACTCATACTTATACAAGCCTGTAGAGGTGAAGAACGTAATCATAATGCTCTTGTAAAGCGTGATTTTCTAGACTCTCTACCATCAAACTTTTGTGAAGTTTCATTAGATCCCAGCTCTTGGCTGTCGCTGCCACATATGAGTGACTGTGTAATTGTGTATTCTACCTTACCTGGATTTGTATCTTGGCGGTCTGAAATAGAGGGGAGTTGGTATGTAAAGGTGTTTGTCGAGGTAACAAGGTTGCATGGGCACAGGCTTCACATTCTTGAACTGTTGACAGAAGTCAACAATAGGCTTGTGTCAGAGGCGTCAAACTATGGCATCAAACAAATATCACAACCAGTAACAACGCTAACTAAGCCTTACTATTTGTCCACTCTGAACACTTGAAAAATTTATTGTATCCAGAAATATAGTAATCTACTTTCATCCCATTGCTACTAGCTTCATTCTCTACGGAACTTGTGGTATAAGATCTTACTTTGATTGTAATTAGGCGTATCAATGCATGGGCATTCGAAATATTTCTTAATAAATAAAGCTCTCCTCCTAGCATATTTCGTATCTACCCATTTTCGCTTATGTTGGAGCGTCGTGAAAGCGAGTATGCTCAATAGTTTACGGTACGATCCATCAGAACAGCTAGATATGCTGCTTACAACTCAGCATAACATAACTAAGTGGTTTGTCGGTCCGTGTTTGCGAGAGACGGTTAGTATGCTGCTCAAATGCTTTCGCCGGTGTGAAATTACCTTACACAGTAGATAAATCGAATATGGACTTCTGGACGCATATATATAAGCCCATACGCAAACTACATGGCTCGTAATTCTTTAATAGTGTTTAAACACGTAATTTCGACTTTCTGTTACGAACAAGTCCTGGGACTTGATTTACATATCTCCGAACGACATGAGTGAACATATTTCGTTTTGATAATATTCTTAAATCTTGTTTATGACAGAACTACTTTCGTCTGTATTTTTGCGCAGTCTAAAGAGGTACACTCTACGACAACAGTAGACAAAATCCCGAAAAGTATGAAAACTCATCGCAATTATCTTTCTATATCACTCAGGAGAAATTACAAAGAAAATCTGGAAGTAACTATATACAATAACCTTGTGAGAAGTAATGTTTGAAAAAGAAATTTACAAAGTCAAAAGATTAAGTCAGTACTGAGCACGGGTCATCAACTCAGCAAATGTAACAGGAAGCCAGCCACCATCACTGGGATTGTACACATAACTGACGTTGCGGTCGAAAAACACTTGTAATGATTCCAGTCTGTATACTTGTTGACCTTCGAACATCCTGTTTGAAATAGGATGGAATAAGAAGCCGCGCTGCGCTGCTACTTGTTCAACTTGTTTACGTAGCGTTGTCGGAGGAGGAGCAACCAAAGGTGTTGATGATCCAAAAGCTGGGGGAAGTACGCCTGATGAGCCAGTAGGATACCTTGACACATCTGACTGACCCTGCTTTGAGACCTGAGGTTCCTAAATAAAGTGCGGATTCCCAGAAGAACACAAGACTTAAAGCAAGTTAGAAGTTTATCTAAAGTCTACAAATAATATATGATTTTTTTCCAGACTAGACTACTACCATTATCTGGTACTCTTGGGAGATGTCAGCAGTATTGTTTAGCAAAATGACTTAGCAAACAGTAATTACTTAGTAAGTTACGTACTCTTAGATTACGTGTTTCCTGACATTTAGGAAATGCGTACTTATAATTAGAAGTTACACATTTGCATCGCAGAAAGCCTCGTTACGTAATCATTGTGGATGTAATTGATACATTTTGCGATCTTATAATTGATTTAAAATTATGTCAGGAGTGAGAGATCCATGGTTAAATTAAATGAACTATTTTACTTGACAAACAACATTTATCTAAATTTTTGAAAGCCATTAGAGTTTAGGTAATGGTATTTTGAGTTTCCCTACTTTTTAATGGAATTCTTGCATCGCATATCCACCTGAACTTTGTGAATATACAATTAAGAAGAACTTATGGTTAAGAAGCCACCTAAGTAACTCAGCAAACAGTATTTAAAATGACATCTCAAAGAATCCAAACCCATAATAACTTACTTGAGGCGGTAACCCTCTCATTGAACGTTCCATCATTGCCAAAGCTTTTGTCAAAGCATCTTTGACACTTGCATATTCCATACACTCAGGAGGTAACTGACCTTTCCAACCAGCATACCAACGGCCAACTTCTTGATAAACTTGACCGGCAGCAGTGTGGTCTCCACGTTGCCTAGCTTCTACCCCCTGATTCAGCCAACTTGAAAGGACTGACAGCCAACGTGACCAGAAATGATGTTCAAGTAGGTTTACAAGTACAGCCGGACCAATCAAGTCTGCCCAACGCATCACCCAATTCCACGGATCCATGTTTTGCTTAGCGGGATTAAGCTAAATATTAGAATATTTTCGAAAAAAATATTGCATAGAAACTCGACATCAGAGGTATGATCATAAATGAATACCTAACATATTAGTCCCTAAACTGTATATTATGTGAAAACCCCCTAGGATTTAGTTGAGAGGTGCAACAACAGTAATAATTAAAATCTCAGTAAAAAAGGTATTGTCAGTCCATTTGTAAGTTTTAGCTTCCAATCAACTGTTTTGTTGTCAGTATTTTCGAAATTATGTGTAGGACTACATCCTATCATAACATAAAATGTACTAGGCTTGTATACACTTGCCAGACTGAGCAGGATTTTCTTATACCTACTATTTGTAGCTTAGCATACACGCAGTGTTGATAATTTATTCATATTACTGCGTGTCCGAGATATTTTTATCGTGTCCAAGTAGACGACATCTGATTATCATAGGATTTCCTTTTCGTATGTTTCAATCACATACTAAGAAAGGGTGTCAAACGATGCATGTGTTTAGCTCCTAACGATAATTAATACGTAAAATGGAGTTATGTATGCAGAAACCTCAGCAATTGAAGTTAAACAGTCACAAATATTTTATCAGTAATCTTCAGAGAAATTCATGCCATATTTGGTACACAAAATATGGTATATTCAAGCACCAGAAATTCATGCGCCACATAAATAAGGGATAAAGTTCATATAGGAAAGTGAACAAGAATATAATAAGAGATATAATTCAGTTAAGAATACAACCAAGAGATTCCCAGTAAACAAAGTTCGTCTTTTATTCAGATCTTCATAAATAATGTTATTCCGAATATCACATATTTGGCGATCATAATTTATCAGTGTAAGCGTTCGTTTAGATTTTGGTGAAGGTTTATGTAAACTAAAATATACTGTTATAAAAAACGATAATAAACACTTAAGACATTAAACTTAAGGACAACACTTATTTTAAAAGCTGATAATAGATTACTTGCACCACAAAGGAATTATAAAGAGAGTAGTCAACCTATTACTTACAATGAAATGAGAAGTATACCACCGCACTGGGTTTATTAGGAGCCAACTAAGAAAAAGATTCTGTGAATGCATTGACCAGTTAACAGGTGATATTTAGCGATCAGATTAAAAAGCTTGTTAAGGCCAAACTATTGTAAATAAACGAGTAAAAACTAACTTGAAACTGTTGCAACGCTAAAGCAAGTTTTGGCACCACATGGCGACTTAAGAAAGCTGCCATGGACGTGACCGGGAATATGGTTCGCCAAGGCATTAGGACTGAGCGGGCAGATGCATCACTAGGATGCCAGTTGGTAAGGCAACTTCCTAACTTCTGGAGAACCATATCATGCAAACACGCGAGACGTTCAACTCCTCCAAACCAAGGTAGCCAGGGATGCAACCAAGTGTGAACAGGTACTGTATCAGTTAACGGATTCCATGAGGAAACAGCATCCTAAAAGTTGGACGTGTTTAGAAATAACATAGTAAGAAGGAATTACGGAATCATTCGAGAAGTTAGTAAGTGATATTGTGTCACTACTTTGTCTTAAAAAAAATAAGACTCACTATTTACAAGTCAAGCGCTTTAATAAATACCACATACAATACAAAAGTACACTCAACATTTACCTTAGCTGTGAATCAAACATGCACTAATATATGAAGTTTAGCGTTAACTGAATTAAATTAGTCAAGAAAACTTCGAACCAAGTTAACGAAGATGATTGTGACATTGGTATCTGCTGAATAAATTTGTATGCATATCTGTAGTTTCCCGGAGAAAAATGTAAAAACCAACAACTACAGATCTTGGTTGACAGAAACACCAGGAGTACTGAATACATTTTTTTACAAAATATTGAGTCTTGAAGTTCTATGATGCCTGGGTTTGTTTTGTTAAAGTCTACTCCTTTTATAACGTTATAATGTGAATTACCCAGGAATTTCGAAGTTGAGTAGGTAAACTATGTAATTATATCAAGTAGTAAAACTGAGATGGAAAGGGTCGTTTTTAGACAAAAGTAAAATTAAGACCAAGACAGACTGATTCTTTAAAATCTCTCTATTTAAATAGTTTTACTTTATGGAATCAATACACGTCATAAATTTATAGTGTGATAACTTGGATCCACTGCGCATATGCTCACGACTGATTAAACATAAAATATAGCAATATACAAATAACCGCAAACTGAAAGTGGCCTTTGGATACCTTTTATTTTAGGCTACGGATAAGCAATTCACTGAAAATAAGGTAAAATAACTAATTAAAACTAAACAGCAAGTATTAAATACTTATGACAATTGTAGTAAATGTGCAATATCGACGAACAATGGCAGAGGAAGCTATCGAAATCTAAATTCAACGAACCTGCAATTTTGGAAGAATCAGTTGGTCGAGTATTTTGCGCTGCAACATATCATCCGGTAACAAAGGTTGCCAGGCTTCGAGAACCTCCAAGAGAGGTTCGCAGTCTCGAGGATTCCATTCGTTAACGATAGTGCGGCGTATGGCGCTCAACCAGCTTGTTTCAAGTATAACATCAAATGCGCAAGGATTTTGAAAGAAATCCCTCCAGTGTCCCAACAAATCGAGACAAAATGTAGGTTCCTAATTTGGGTACGTTAAAAGAATTAGTAATAAGGACCCACAAGACGACCGTTATACTCATTCAACGCACAAAATAGATAAGATTATTTCCTAAATTTATTTGTGGCGCACTAACATTGTGTTGTATTGAATATTTTAAAACGCAAATAAATATATGTAACAGTGAGTGGTCATAGATATGCGTGATTCACATGTTTCATGAGCAATAAGTTGTTAAACTTTACTCGATAAATATTAAACGAGATCATCTACACAGAGCCTGTGATAGATACGCGTTGCCAAACCTGATTAGCACGAGATGAAAATAACAAAAGAGATTGAAATAATGTAGTAGCAATGACAAAAAGTAAAACCTTGGGAATATGATTTACAAGGAAAGAGTAGAAAGTTATGTATGAATGGATATTGAAATTCAAGGTCGAGAGAATGAAGCGTGAATATATCGGCGCCAGTATGTTATAACTTGTCGCTTTGTGCCCCTACCAACACATAACATAATGATTCCGCCAATTAAATGGCAGTGATTTATCGACCGGACCAATGACACGTAAACCCGTACGACCAGTCTAGAGTCCTTATCCGTCCTTCTTACTGCCTAGCCCTGCCTGTTGAGTCCAGAACACCAATCTCAGCCTCTGTGATATGAATCATGTATTTCAAGCATACTGGGTTAATAATAAACCAAACAGACCACATCGTACCATAAAAACAGAAATGTTTGCTCTCATTAGGGCTTGGTCAAGCATGTACTTCGGTAAGTTGTAGCCTTCTATCGAGCTTCTCTAATGGCTGACAGCGATATGATCTAGTTGTGTACATCGTTGTTTTGATGTTGAGGCACGCTAAACTAGACAGTGTTGTTATTGCTAGTAATAAGCGGTCATCTTAGGCTGACATCTCAATATTTTTCAGTTCGACCTGGTCTACAGACCTAGACGTTAAACCTGCCTGGTACTATTACTTCTGACTTCCTAAGGGTCGTACATTATCCTGTAAAACTTTTTTTACTCCATCTGGGCTGCAATTAGTGGAGGTGTAGGCAGAAACAATAAAGAGGGAACGGTATGTCTTTATATCTCCGAATTCTTATTGTACCATTGAGACCAGCAGCACATAAACGACTTTTGATAGGAATCTGGTCAAGAAGTCCCTATCTAGCTTTCAGGCTAGGTGACGTCAAGTGGGAAACCATGTTAGAACGCTATATGTGTATCTCGGAGACAGTATATACCGATATCAAGAGATTCCAGGGTCTTAGTTAATGATGCCTGTTGCTCGATTCGACATGCGGTCCGGATAGTGAAAGCTATAAACATGTAGTTCGGAGAGCAGTTTCAGGGGACTTGGGTTGGCATTTTGTGAACTAGAATTATTAGCGTTGGGACATACATTGAAGCAGTTAAAGGTAGATGAGGGTCAATATTGAGAGTAGAAGTAATGTTTAGTGATGACTTTAAAAGGGCAGCATCTCTGCAGTTTCTGGTTCCCTTAGAGAAACAGCTTACTGTCGTCACATCTGTACAGTCAGCAGCATTATTTCGCCCTTGGACCTTAATTTGCTGCTTTAAGTCTTACTGTTCCCCAAACGACCTGTTGGCACAATAGGACCTAAAGGAATAAATGTTCCAGCTAACACACCTCGGTTGGATCTAAGAAACATCCTTAATTTCAGCTACAATTATTATCCATCAACACTAAAACTGCCGGATTAATGAGCTTCAGCAGGAAATTGTATCAATCTGGTATAAATTAGATTCGCATTTAGGTTAAAAGTCAAGTAGGTTGACAATTAACCAGTGAATAAACAAACAGTCAGTATCAATTGGACACTAGTAATGTGTATACTAAGGAGAAAATTTAGAATTTTGAGGAAGTAAATATTTAATAATACGGAATAGACTAGATGAAAATCTTCCCATATGTAATAAATTCTATTCATTAAAACTTCATTCAAACCATTTTTAAACTGATTATTGCAATGGCTCAGCAAGACATATATGCGTAAAGATGAACTAATAAGGTCTTATTGATAAAAGTTTTGCATTGATAACACTGGGCAGAATATCGAAAGCAAAAACACATTACCTACCTTTAGAGGATCCCATCTAGCAAGTGAATTATCCAACATTGGGCGAGCGATCGATGCCATGAGAACAGGCATTTCTACTAGGTTAGCACATTCCTCACGTATAAGTGATACCCAAGATGAAATAGCTTCAGATGTTAAGTTCGTATCACAGCCTGAATGAAACGTAACTTCATCTTCAAACTTCTTTATTAGAAATAAAGCTTTCTTGAGGTAATTCACTTCAGATTCTTCTCCGTCAACTATCTGAAAGGTGATGAAAAGAACGAAATTCATAATAGAAAATATTGACAACATAACTAAATTAGTGTTTTGTCAGATGTGGTCCGGACTATCCAAAAAAATTATAAGATTTCAGACAAAATTTGAATGTGCTATAATCTTACACACCATAATCGAGAGAAAAGTTGAAGAGAAACGGTAAGATTGGGCAACCATACCTAACCTCAGTGCTTGAATGGAACAATGGAGAGAGGTGCTTGTATGTCCTCACTTTGCCTGAGGTGCTTGTATATAGGTCCTTTTAAATTGTCATCTCCAAATAATCGACACGCTCCGACCAACAGGTTTCTCGGACCTAACGCAAGCTTGCACAATTTCATTACGTAATAGTCCCCGTTTATAGTCAAACTCGTGGTCACCCTAAGTAGGCCGACGGGCTTCAATCAGTTGTGAAAAGCCTGAAAAAACTCTGTGCTTATAAGCGGGACGATTCGAAAACCCGCAAGTGACTTTACTCGTATTTTTCATGGCGTCATGAAATTATAACCAGTACTCATTTATACGTTTCGGTGGGATGGTAGCTAGCCTTGAAACTCAGTTAATCAGTAACAACGTAGAACTTCGTACGTACGTAGATCAGTTCTGGTTGCCATACCACATTACCACAAAAGTACAATTATCGATTCAAATCTCATAGTAGTAGAGGTAGTGAAAGTATAAGCAGTAATAGGAAGATGTTAGTCAAGGAGTATAATCCAGTGAAATAAATTTGGAAGGAGAAAAAATAAGGGACATGAAGAATTCAGAAGATTAACATTTGGGAGAACACAAAGGGTGGATGCACCTGCGCCGTTGCAAACGATTTTGAGCTATATCATTCAAGGTCTCTAACCATCGGTTGCTATCGTTCAGCGAATCCCAACCAGGTAGTCTACACCTACCAGCATGGCTCAGTTCACTTGTCGGTGACTTCATGGATTTGTGCCATGTTTTGGTCTGGCCGCCCCTAGCTTTCTTCCAACCTACTCCTATACCACTGAACATAGCACGTCGAGGCAGTCGGTGGTCGGGCATGCGTAACACATGCCCCAGACATCTCAACTGATGAAGTTTCACTACTTCATCAATTGATTTTCCATTCTAACCTAGTACCCGTTTCCTAACAACTGCATTACTTACTCGGTGGTCCCAGGATATACGAGCAATGTTTCGAAAACACCTATGATCGAATACTAGTAACCTAAAAATATCCCCTACTCTTACCGGCCATGTTTCACTGCCATAAAGTAGGACGGAACGAACAGCTGCACAGTAAACTCGTCCTTTGGTTGGTAGACGGATATCTCGCCTACGCCACAAATGACGCAAGTTAGCAAAAGCTAAGTCGAGCCTTCTGTACCCGTGCTGAGATTTCGTCACACACCAGACCCCAAGGGCTGATGAGACTCCCAACATGAGTGAAGTGGTCGACACGCTCAACTACTTCACTCCCTATCATTAGTTCGGGTGTCGATGCCACCCAATCCTGAGGCAACATTTTGCATTTCCAGGGGGGAATCGCATCCCGAACATGTTTGCGTTGTTGCTTATAGCGGTCAGAAGACTGCATTTTGTCAGCGTCTTCACCAAATAGAACTATGTCATCGGCATATTCTAAGTCAACAAGTGAATCTCTCAGTAGATGTTTAACCCCTGGAAATTTAGATGAGGAATGTGTCATCTCTAAAAGCACGTCAACGACAAAGTTAAACAAGAATGGGGAGGGTGGACACCCCTGACGGACATCACGTGACGTAATCAATTCTGATGACAGTTCACTATAAGCTCTCACTCGACCAGTTGTGTTCGAGTAGAGAGCCTTTGGTACTCCTTTCAGTGACAAACACTGCCATAGTACCTCACGATCAACAGAATCAAATGCCGCCTTTAGGTCGAGAAATACTACTATTGTGGGGCGTCTGAATGTGTGTTTATGTCCTAGGACCTGACGTAGTGTGAATAACTGGTCTATACATCCACGTCCAGATCGGAAAACATCCTTGAACCTAGCTTATTTGTTATTTAGTTGCAACAGAAGCTGCAACCAATTTGCTGACATCAATGCGTTTACGACGATGAATTTGTTGGCTACTGAAACGTAAGGTAAGATTAGCACAAACAAGGGTATGATCAGAATCTACATAGGCACTCCAAAAGGAACAGCAGTCTTGTACATAAACACAGCGGAGGTAACTGATCGCAATGTGACCAGTCTGGATATAGGCTTGAGATATTGAGGAAGGACGTCAGGTGGCACATTGGGGATGATTGTGCCGGTAGTTAGCACTAGCCAGAAGCAGGTTGTGGTATGCGCATAGTTGCAGTAGACGGTCCCCGTTTTCTGACCTGCGCCCAACAAGTCCCTACTGGCCACCTAAACGTCTCTCTTGTGTGCCTAAACGCCCAACTTGAGTATTTAAATCTCCGACTATTACTACAATATCTATCGAACGCACTTTCTGTATAAGACCTGTTACCTGTTGCTAAATCTCATTCTTGGTAGCATCTGGCCTGCAATCTGTCGGAGCATAGGCGGAGATGACGAAAAGACGCCTTTTCTCACATCGATTTCCTTGCACTTTGATGGAACTTTCTAATTTAACAACATGTAACCGACTGTTAATTGGGATCCAATCGATCGGTGCTGCCTCAGTTCTAGCGTTTGGTGTGACATTAAAGCCAGCACAACCAGACGAAGATGCCATAGGGTCTCCGAATAAACGTATGTGAAGCAAGGTTTTCGAAGCGACAGATGGAAAGCGAATTTGTAGTACTTTACTAGATTCTCTAATATGGGTCACGGACAGACAACAGACATCGAGATTAAAACTTTCTAAAGACATAGCCAACCATATCTGTTGTCCAATCTGCATTAGAGTGCGAACGTTGGACGCCAGTTCGAATGGTAAACATGGGTTCAGGAAGACTTTCAATAATTGTAATCGGTGGTAGCATTCAAATTCCGACCACTCAGTGACTCGATATACTTTAGGTAGCACGGGGTTTTCACCACAGGCGAGCTGCTGTATAAGTTGGAAAATACGCAAAATGAGAATAAAGGGGAATGAATAAGTGACGTAGTATAAAAGAAATAAAAACAAATGATTGTGAGTGCCATTTTTCTGAATGCGAGTAGAAGTAAGAATAATTTTTCCAGTAGTAATCATCACTCCTACATAAAGAGTGACATTTAGTACGTCGACCACTCAAGTTCTTTTAGAAATCTTATGAGTCCTGGTGACCCAGTGTCTGGTGAAATTTTCGCACGAATTCAGAAAGTTCGCTTGGCTTCGTTAGACTAAGAAACTTGCGTAGACGAGATGTCTGTCTACCATACAAAAGGAGAATATACTGCATAGTAGTCCGTTTCGTATTAGTCTACGGCTGTGAGATACAGGGTATGAAAGTAGAAGACATGCGCAGGCTTAAAGTTTCTGATCAAGTTTCTTCGGAGAGTTACTGAAGTATTTTAGGACGACATAGTGAATAATGCTGATGTTGTACTAAACACAGATAGCAAATCAGTTGATGAGGTTGTAGATTTTTAACTAAGATGGGACGTACAATGTGTCGCGCGGAGCCGACCACAGCCTACTTGATGTGTAATCCTGACCGGTAAAGCAGGCAGATGGAAGATAGCTGAAGATGATCAAACCAAAACGTCATATTAGTCCATAAAGTCATTTGCATTTGGTGTATGCCGTATTGTTCGATCATAGAGACGCAGATGCATCGATTTCTCGTCTTCCCCTAGATTCTAAGCTTTTCAAACCATATTCTCATGGTTTAATCATTTCTACTGTAATTGATGCTATCATTGACACAACCATCTTGCTATTAATTTTGTCAATCTCGTCTTATCGTATTGAAATTACATAGCAAATTGGGATCACATACGCTTGTTTCAGTCTCTACGTTGATTGATTAGCTGACTTAATGAAGTGAAATCTGTCCTACATGATTTTAGTTAGTAGTAAAATGTTCCACTGTGTACTCGACTTCCGCAACTTAACCAAGAACAATCTCATCGAAATAAAATGGCGATATTACAAAGCATGAAAATGTCATACCTTTTGCTAATTAATTTGAGAAAAAGGAAAGCTAAACAGACCTCAGTTAATTTTTCGATTTCATGTTCTAAACCAACTGCGCGATCTTCCTCGAATCTAGCAGCCCGATCAAACCGCCTAATTTCATCTTCAGCGGACCGCATTATCAGGGCGAAATTGTGTTGCAGAGCGGGACAATCAAAGAAATTCCCTTCCAACCTTTTTTCGATTCGTTTACCATCAACATCTGGATTTTCTTCATCTGAGAGAGTAGAATTATCTCCCGGTTTTCGGCGCCTTTGCACAACACGAGATAAAGCAGCTTCATAACCAGAGTACACCTTTTGCTCTTTACTTGTCATATCGATAACCTTTACTTTGGACAATTCACTAAACAAACAAAACATAATAAATGGGTAAAAAAATTAATGCAGTCAACTAGAGATGTCCGAGTTATATTACCATGAATGAAATATCACTATTTTATCAAGTTAAAACAGTCCTATTAACTGTCTGGAGATATTATTACATAGTGTAGGTTCATGTAATTTGTTTTAAGCCATAACTCAGTGTAAAGGTTGGTGGTACCACCAACCTGTTCAAAATGAAGTAGATTAATGGACTGCTATGCTGCAGCCCAGCTGTCAAAGGCTAACTTCAATCACTAGGACATCAATTCTCTAACATACAAAAAATTGGACAGGAAAAATCCTAACATTCTAAACCATCAATAGAATTAACTCATTATTCGAAACCTTTAATCGGTAACATATATTTTGACGATAAAGGTAGAAATCAACTTCACATTGTTAACCTGCAAAGAGAATCGTATACTTGAGCTGATTAGCTATAGTAAAAAATAATTGTAAATGAGCAGATAGGTATTATTTATTAAGATACTTTGAGCTAACCGAATGCCCGAAACAAAATAGGTGGAACAGGGTTCTAACTCGTCACTTGGCTGTGGGAAGTCAAGGGCCTTAACCATTGAATAAAGCTTTCTACCTTACTTTCAGTCTAACAGTTTGTTGTAAAAAAGCCTTACAAGTGCTTTAATCTATACTTACGCCTTATATATATATATATATATATATATATATATATATATATATATATATAAAACCGCCTGTAGCTCTTCTAGGCTTACTACCGGTCCCAAGCCCGGGTAAAGGAGGAGGGTTGGGCATGAAGCCAGCTACCCAATCCCGTAGAAAACAACCTTGCTAAAAAACGCCAACCAGAATAAGCAATTTAAACCATTTAAATTCTGCTCTGTGAGTTTAAGTATCTGCATTTAGAAGAATTAAGACGCCTCATGGTAAAAGCCCGGATTCTTGGGATGTCACGATTTCCATGCCTCTTCTAACAACCAGAAAAACAATTAATTAATATAGACACATGGAATACCTGGACAGTGTGGAAGGCCGTAAAGACCGATGAAATAACCTCTGAAATGTGGAGATAGGACTTGACGGTGCTCGGAATGAGTGAAGCCCTTTGAAACCGAGCTGGACAAAAAAGATTGACATTGGGAGAGATGTTGTTGTACTCTGATCATGAAAAAATGCTTCGCACGTTTAAGGAGTTGCACTGATACTATCCAAAAAAGCATGTAAAGCACTAATAGGATGGGAATCTCATGGATCTAAGATCATCAAAGCATCCTTCAGAGCAAAGGGGGGATCACGATGAATGTTATCCAATGTTATGCACCCACCAATGATAGCAAAGAAGACGATAAAGACCAGTTTTACGAAAGGCTGCAATAGATCGTAGAGAAGTGAACAGGAAAGGACCTGACCATCCTAATCGGAAACCTAGACGCCAAATTCGGAATGGACAACACTGGATATGAAGATATCATGGAACGACATGGAGTGACTGAGAAAAAGGCACGAGAATGGTGATAGATTTTCAAACTCATGTGCATTCAAAATAGTTATAGGCGGCACAGCATTCCCCCACAAACGTATACAATGGATGCAGCTGGACGGTTTGGAGTTCGCAGACAACCCAGCTCTTCTATTCCATACACACCAACAAATACAGGTGAAGACAGCCGGTGTGTAAGCAGCATCTGTAGCAGTAAGCCTCAACATACACAAGGGACAAACCAAGATCTTTAAATACAACACAGAGAACACCACATAAAGTGTGATCAATAAACGAACCCACTAATGCTGAAGTGAAACTCCCACCATCACATTAACTTTCTTTCACCACGTATGACCTTGTCATGTTTATTTAGCAACCACAATTTTATGTTCATTATAAAACAATATTCGCCTTGTTGACTCATTTTTCCCATCCTCTAGTTACTGTTCGGTACGTTATTTATGTCTCTCATTTCCCCTGCTTAGTAGACTGTGTTGTTTATTTTGTATACTAACGCCGTTAATTTCTGTTTTAGAAATAGATAAAGTTTATCAAGCTAAATAGCTTACTTGTTTTGACTTTGGCTAAACCAAGACTCTACGCTCGACAGTCTAGAGAATAGCTTAGAAATCGCTTCCTATATACCAACTCAATCAAACTTGATGGGGAAGCCCTGGAAGAGGTGGAAACTCTCACGTACATGGGTAACAACATCAATTGACAAAGAGGACCTGATGCAGAGGTAAAGGCAAGGATTGGAGAAGGGCTGTATCCCTACAGTTGGAGAACATATGGAACTCAAAACATCTGTCTGTAAGCCAACACCATAGCCAGGATCTTCAATACGATTGTCAAAACAGTTCTACTGTACAGAGCTGAAACTTGGAGAACTACCACAACCATTATCAAAATAGTACAGGTATTTATAAACAATTGTCTACACAAGATACTCAATATCGGTTGGCTGGATACCACAAGCAACAGCCTATTGTGGGAGAGAACAACTTCCAGCTGAGGAGGAAATTAGGGAAACACGATTGAAGTGGATAGGATACACATTGCGGAAATCATCAAACTGTATCACGAGGCAAGCGCTAACTCTGAAAGGAAAAGAGGAAGGCCAAGAAATACATTGCTCCGATAATTGGAAGCAGACATCAAAAGAATGAATAGCAACCGGAAAGGATTGACCAGGATAGAATTCAAAGAATGCTGGTGGGCAGCCTACGCTCCTCTATGAGAAGTAACAGATGTAATATATATATATATATATATATATATATATATATATATATATCCCAAATAGTACCTACCTGTTCTCCAAGAAAATCCCATGTCGCCTAACAGCTGTAGCAGGGGTTGCAGGACAAAGATCGGCGACTAATTCCTCAGTAGTTTTATACTCCTGTATAGGCTTTGATGCTTGACTCCGTTGTAACCCAGGCCTCTTCTTGTAACGTGGCCCGACTACGTGAAATACAGGGAAAAATTACGTACGCATTAGTGTATTTCCAAACCAGTTTTATAGTATAGCAAAGCCTTATTCCTTGATGTCATTTACAGGAAAACCATTTGTTAATCAAATGATATTATGAAAGCCTACGTTGATTCTTTTGTTGTGTGCACAGTGCTTTATACATACGAGAGTGATGACGTCATGCTGTGTTGAGGTGTGGCAGAAATAAAGTTGAATACCTTCAGTCCTGGTTTTTGTCATCAACAACGCCGCCAAAAATCACAATGAATCACTATAACCTTCGTGGAGTATGTCTAGTAGACATCTGATGAGTAAACGTGATAACTAACAATGGACACGCACAGTCTTCTAAGGTCTATTGAGTTAAATAGCGTGAAGAACAGAAATACGACTGATACCCGAAATCTTAAATTCAGTGGATGTTTGTTGAATTTACAGTATCATCGTAGTTTAACAGCCTATGCTGTACGCAATGTATGATCATTTTTATTTCGTTTTATACCTTTGTATATAAGGTAGTGTTTTCTTATTGGAAAGTTAACGCAACTTTAATTGCGAGATCAATTGTCAAGCATTCTATTTACCGTTTATTAGAAGATTTAATAAACGTAACGAGTCAGCAAACAACCTCCTGAACAGTTATTACTTAACCATATTGCATCGTTCCTCATTCAATTTACTTTACTAATTGGTATTCATGAAAATCAAAAACGCGAAGCTATGTTGGAAGCTGAACGTTATTCCCCTTACATTTAGTGAGACGGTTTTAAGATGAATAACGTAGAACAGTCCGAATGTGGTTCCAGCTAGTTTAGCATATACAACCATACACTAGTGGTTAGAGATTGGGACAAAAATAAAATAGATAAGGGACAAACTCCAAATTCTTTCACTACAATCCAGTAATCAACCATAGATTATCAGCTACAGAGTCGGGGGTAGTGGTAGCAACCAACTGTTTTGACCTAATTAAAAAGAGCTTCGACCGTTCAGCTGAACACTGACATGATAACGAGTATTTCGGTGATGGGATACGCTTCATTGTTGTTATCTTCATTTAGCAGTCAGTTGCAGAACACAGAAGAAATACAAAGATGCTCCACATAAAACCTACCTAGTTTTTCAGATGATCGAAATAACATGTATTTTGAATGTTATCTGATCTAATAGTAGCAAAGATAAACAGCTAAAACCAAGACTGATACTTTAACTACAATATCCAGTGCCTAAAACAATTAGCTCACGAAACAATCATCTGAACCATACTTACATAGTCTTCGGAAGAACAGTGGGTGTACAACTGAATATACTAGTAAATTAAAATCACAATGAATACACAAAATATTCAATTAAGAAAGTACTTTTCATCAAATAACACGATAAACTGAGGATAAAAATGCAGGTCACCACGCAGTGACCTCTGACATCTGCCTGTTGTAATATAAACCTATAGAGTGGTGGCCTAGTGGTCGTGTTTGGTCTTCAAACACTAAGTCCTAAGTTTGAAGCCCGCTCCACCTACGTTAGTTTTGGCAACAGGGTAGTATCCTTAGCTATCATGGTGAATAAGCCCATAATCAGTACCTAAGTAGTAAGTTCTAATTTAAAATCCAATACAAACCATTTAAGCATGACTATCACAACTATAGTACTTTGGTAACAAATTCACGTAATTTAGAGGGGAAATAGTATGCATAAACAATAACGAGCAAGAACGGGATTAGGAAACACCGCATCCACAGACTATGTATAAATAAATTATACGAATATTCGTCAAGATTAGAACGAAAAGTTTGACAGAAATTGGGCGCCGAGTATAGAGAAGTCATTATATGTGAAAATTATATTTGAAATAATCTCAGCGATCGAAATTTAAATAATCCCAACGTTTCATCCAGCTAACTTGTCTGGACTTCTTCAGGGTAATAATCAAAATCAAAATTATCAAAGAAATATGTAGCTTTTTGACAATCAAAACTATACAGTGTTAAACCAATCAAATTTGGATGTTGATTTTTGTAAAATAGGATCAAATGAATCAGTTAACGACAAATCATGTGAAAAAATTCAACAACCAACAACGCAAACATGTTCGGGATGCGATTCCCCCCTGGAAATGCAAAATGTTGCCTCAGGATTGGGTGGCATCGACACCCGAACTAATGATAGGGAGTGAAGTAGTTGAGCGTGTCGACCACTTCACTCATGTTGGGAGTCTCATCAGCCCTTGGGGTCTGGTGTGTGACGAAATCTCAGCACGGGTACAGAAGGCTCGACTTAGCTTTTGCTAACTTGCGTCATTTGTGGCGTAGGCGAGATATCCGTCTACCAACCAAAGGACGAGTTTACTGTGCAGCTGTTCGTTCCGTCCTACTTTATGGCAGTGAAACATGGCCGGTAAGAGTAGGGGATATTTTTAGGTTACTAGTATTCGATCATAGGTGTTTTCGAAACATTGCTCGTATATCCTGGGACCACCGAGTAAGTAATGCAGTTGTTAGGAAACGGGTACTAGGTTAGGATGGAAAATCAATTGATGAAGTAGTGAAACTTCATCAGTTGAGATGTCTGGGGCATGTGTTACGCGTGCCCGACCACCGACTGCCCCGACGTACGATTTTTTATGGTGTAGGGGTAGGTTGGAAAAAAGCTAGGGGCGGCCAGACCAAAACATGGCACAAATCCATGAAGTCACCGACAAGTGAACTGAGCCATGCTGGTAGGTGTAGACTACCTGGTTGGGATTCGCTGAACGATAGCAACCGATGGTTAGAGACCTTGAATGATATAGCTCAAAATCGTTTGCAACGGCGCAGGTGCATCCACCCTTTGTGTTCTCCCAAATGTTAATCTTCTGAATTCTTCATGTCCCTTATTTTTTCTCCTTCCAAATTTATTTCACTGGATTATACTCCTTGACTAACATCTTCCTATTACTGCTTATACTTTCACTACCTCTACCACTATGAGATTTGAATTGATAATTGTACTTTTGTGGTAATGTGGTATGGCAACCAGAACTGATCTACGTACGTACGAAGTTCTACGTTGTTACTGATTGACTAATGGTAACAATACTCGTATCCAGAATATACCTGCAACAATATAATTACTAAACAGACAATTTTAGATTTAAATATATAGTATAAGTATAATTCACTAGACTTATTTGACGCATATAGTTTCAAATCTAAACATTAGCATACAAATACAACTACATTACGAAATAAATGTTTGAGTACTCAGCTTTGAGTCAGATAGTATTTGTAGGTTACTTATAGATCAAAAATAACTCACCAGAGTCTGAACCTTCAACGACAGTCTCATTTCCTCGACGAGGGGCGGGGGCTTTTTCAGATCCATAGTACCCTACTGATACTTTCCCCACTCGTTGGACAGCTTGAACTGGAGTAACAATACCCCGACCGTCAGAACCAAGACCCTTGCCCGGTTCGTAACCCATCTGCTCTAAAAGTTTCATTCCAATACCCTTTGTGTGTCTTTCCCAAGCCCCGAAACCAGAGGTCGCAGACTTCGCCGCTGCAGCGGCTGCTGCTACACGTCGACTGGCCCCAACGGATATGCCCACAGGCTTGTCAGGTTTACGATAAATATCTGAATTTGGTGAGTCAGAGTCTGAATCATGATAAGGATGCAAACTCCTTAGGACAGATTTGTCGTCTTCATCATCCGAAATCTGGTCGACTTCTTCGTTATTTTCTTTCGGACCAGACGAAGCACCGGCACCTGCCTACAATGACAGAAAATACTTAGGACCTTCGAAAACACATTTTTACATGACAAACGAGACTTGCAAATTAGTTGAATAAATGAACGAAACAAACATGAGACATAACAAATGCATGTTCTAGACAGCTATTGCGCACAAAAATAATTGGCACATCTTCCGTACGACTAAACTACTTAATCATTTTGACAGTGCAGGTTTACTGCCAAAATATTAGCTAAACAATGGGTATATCTATCCCAGGCATCTTTACTGGAGCCTAATGAGTTCATACAACTTGAAATAATAAGAAGCAAAAAGGTGATTTATAACTAAGCAGCAACGTAACTATTACAACCTTTCAGATGATCGCAACACTTAAGAATCTATTCACAGCATAGAATTGAGAACACTGAATTGTTAGCTCGTCGATGAATCTCATTATTTGTCACCTAGCCTTCCTTAACATAAATATACCCTACCTTTACTCCACCACTGACAAAGGTGATCGGTGCTGAATAATTGGCACCCTTACGCTTGAAACCAGCTTCACGTCCACCGAAGCCACTTCTTTCAGGCTCTGAATCAGAATCATCTGAGGCGAAAATCCCGTATATTGTTTGCTTCTTTGATTGGTTGTGGCGTCGTTTTAAAGGATTCATCATGAACGAATATTCCACATCAGACAAACCAAACCTCTCCATCTCTGGTGACGACCCCATAATTCCAATAAATCCGATGACTTCAAAACGCTGCGCCCGCCAGTTCGATTGTACAACATTCAATTTCAGTTCAAATCACTCACTAGTGATGTAGGTCAAACGGTTAATAACAACAATGTCTGGTTCAATCTTGTCCCTAATATGCCTATGCAGAACGTGGAGTGAAACCCTAAGTGAAGACATTTCTTCATTTACTCTTCAATGTAGGATTTCACTTCAAAACGGTTAATACGTGGAAAAATCTAGGGATTCTTTTGCAAAATAAAAAGCCGACAACTGCATACACATATGCATAAATTGAGTAAATAAACTACTCGGAATTAAATAAAGCATTTTTGATGCGATAAAAACCTGTACAGCTCTCTGTTGAAACATATTTAGAGATACAAGTTATTGAATAGGTCCGACCTTACATCCATCATATAGTATATTTGCTAGATAAGAGCTTTCATGTCCCTTTTGCGCGCATGTATTCTGGTGTATTCGCACCTCACTCTGTCAGAAGACATACGAGAGAGATATGAGTGAAGTAGATGATTAGTAAGTCCTAACACTTGTCAAGTGTTTGTAAAATTTTAGATGTCTATCCACAACCATATTATTAATGACGTCAAAAGATTCACCACACGCTCTGTTATCTACCTTCAGGACTTCCGGCCAACACGGTAAAATCATTTCTCCAAAGTGACGTGGAACAGCAATAAATAATAAATCATGTGCAAGAATTTACAAATCGTATTATAAATTTCAATTAATGCTAGAAGCATAGAGCGTCTTTATATTATGAGTCAGACGAAGAAGCTCCTCCAATATCAGTGGATTAGGAAAAGCTAGGGTAACGTCTTACAACAACATAAATGACCTATTTAACCCCATAGAATTTCAACAGGGTATTTAGGTTCTGTTCATATATCAGGCTAAAATTAACAATCTTACATTTAAAAAGACTAAGAATAAGACTATTGATAACATACCATCTTTCAACGAGCGTCAAGAACTCATTCACCTCAAGGGAATGTAAATAGTTAGAAATCGTAGCGAATACAGTGTGGTCATCCGCACGCTTAAAAAACAGGTTTATGTAGAAAATAGCAGACCATGCTGAAAAAAAGTAGATGAGAAATGACAGCTCTTCATGGTAAACTTTTACTTAATAAAGACTTTGGACACTTTTCTCTAAGCACAATGTACTGTTCTCTTCCAGAGAGGTAAAAACAGAGCCAGTTGGTTATCTAGCTGTCACTGTTGACTCTAGCAAACTTGTTTATTAGTAATCGCCTTGGAATAGAGGCAAATGTATGATCCATAAATGAGCATCAAACATCTTACACTTTTCCAAGCTGGACATTATAATATAGTGCAAAACAACAGCAGCATCTAAGGCACTTCTTTTCCATTTGTAAGCGAAATTATATGGGTCAATACCACTATTTTACCCAGGGTGGAGTGTAACTGGCAATAGTCTTGACAGTGTTTTGAGAAAACGTGAAGTCATTGCCATGTGTCCAAAGTCTAAGTTCTTATCGCCAGATACATTCCTTGGCATTGGAACTATCTTTATTTCTATGAGACGAGAAGGATTCATTAAAGATGGACATAAATAAATGACAACGTGAGCACACCTATTGAAAAAGGAGGTTTGGTACTTCCTGAGGTCTGATATATTATTTCATGAACCCAGGCCTTTGTCCAACGAAATCGATGATGCGCTGTTGACAGACAGGAAAGCTCTCTAAGCAAAACATCATATTTTGTTTACAACTATTCTAAACTTTTGAAAATTGGATAGGAATTGGGGATAAATGTTTCAGAATGCGTTTTCTGGGCCCTTGCACAAATTTTTCTTCTAGCATACGGTAAAAATGAGAACAAGCGGAAGCTAGAATTTAAAGTAGTTACCTGAAAGGTTTTACCCTCATCGTCCCTATACCTTTTGAATGGTGAGCCGAATAAATATGATCGACGTGGTCATGAATAGTCCGGAGGTCAGGCCAGTTACCGTCATGGGCAGAGATCTCATTATTCCAGATAAATCATTGGCTACGGAATTTTGATGACAGGCGACACGATGTGTATCACATGGTGTGTCCCTTCCTATAATAGAAAGTGTGTTAGTGAATTACCCAGATGATATGAAATCTATGTATTGCCACTGTTCAACATTAAGATTCTACGTTTATGCCATTAACATGGAGAGCGTTTCTGATGGTCTAGTTATTACCTCGTTCATGTTCACTTGAAGAGTCGGGATGTCCGAAGGGTCTTGTGTCGAACATCGAACCCTAGTGCTATCCGCGTATCACAGTTTGATAATCCAGAAAATAGCCTCACTTGTCGATAAACAACAAAAGGAGGAGTGGTGCGGTATGAAATCTAGTGCTACTTCGCTCATCATTGTTAATCAGTCAGACAAATCTGAACGAGCTCTGATGTTTCGTAATCTCTTCATCATATAGTGTCCAAAGGGATGATCATATAGATTTTGTAGATTTTGTGCCTTAAATGAATTCTGCAAAACAGAACCGAACTGTAGAAAAACTATCAGTCACACCGATCGTACCTCTAAATTGGGGCTGATCACTGTTGAATAACGGTGAATATTAGTTTACATTGATTTCTGTTGGCTGAGTGACGACGTTTGGCCGAGGACGTCCTGTAATTACTTTTTTAACGCCCACGTAAATTCCGTCTTATTTGGAGAACATTGAAAAATTATAAGGTAAATCACATGATAGATGAGTCAGTGAAAGTTCGATTATTTTATATGCATCTGGAGGATGAACTGTTAACGCTTATTCGTGTATATCTTCATGTGTCTTTTGCAAGCATATATTGCATGTATAAGTGTAGTTATTTACTAGTTTACCATGTTTTTTTCATATATGTGTCTGACTGTCTATGTATCATTACACATTTTAACTACTCCTTGTGTTCCGTGCTTCCTAATATGAATCGCGCTTAATAAGGTTCAGTAGGCTGATAAATACTTCTTCCATATGCACATATTCCATTAGTATTCGTGATTTGTCTTTCCACATATGAATGGTTGTAACAAGTCCTCGCACTCCGATTTCATCACCAACGCTGGATTTTGGGCTTAGCCTAGTTACAATGTATGAAGTCAATTAGTAACTACAGTTCAATACCATAACTCACCATCAACCATAGTCAACTAGGGTCTATAATAGGACACTAATTACTCACATTCCCGCCTCACTGTTTAATAGAGCACTCGACTTCAGCCACACACGTTACGATTTTGCTACCCGCTTAGTTACTCATTTATTTTCTTACTTAGAATATACCCAGTCTACTCCCTACGTTTCAGCAAATGCAATTTCTTTAGTTTCTACTCACAATTCTGCAGCCGTTTGCACAATCTACATTGGTAATCTACCATAAATTCTCTGAGTGATACATATAATGCTGTTCATTTTTGTTTTCTTTCACAAACGTAGTTGGTAAAACATTTCCACATACTCTTTGAAATGGAGAAAAAATTCACCTTGCAATGATCGATGCTATATCAAACCTATAAAGGCTATTCTACCTTCTGGACCGACCGATTTCTTCACTCTTCTGAAGCTACTTAAGAAGTATCTCCGTAAGAATAATGATTGGTCGACGTTCACTGAATTGGATTGATTTAGTGGAAAAGGAACCATTGCTGAACAATATTGTGTAATATGGACAGTGGGTGCTTGCCTATTTTGACGTCCGAACGTAAAACGTAAATACTAGGAACCAGAACGTATACTATGATCATGTCATTTGCGTCTGCTCATTTTGATAACCGGTATAGCTCGCAAGAGGCTAGTCAAGGAGTGAATGAGTAATTTACCGTTACCATGAAATGAATCTTGAAGATTGAAGTTTGTTGGGATATTATACAATGGAGACAAAAACCGCAAAAGAGAACACATCGATCCATAATCATTCATGCTACAGAAAGTATCTGACAAACTATGCGCGGTTTCAATATTATAACAAAAAAATCTACGAATTAAAGAACCAAGGATCTTATATAAATGGTAACCTTATTAGGTACAGAAACATGTAAGCCGAAGCTACAACAAAACTGTAACAACAACTTTCTGCAAAAATAGGAGAAATGAAAGATGCTAGTGTTGGTTAACCATTTATTAATAATTTGAATCAAGTTCTTATTGATGTTAGAATTGTAGAAATTTGACAGTAGGGATGCGTTGGAAATTTCTTTAAAGTGTTTTTTTGAGCAATACTGTTATTTCTTTGTTCCTTAGTACTGTCTCGTATTTTGTAACCACATTTGATGTTCTTCTATCTCCTCTGTTTGGGCTTTTATTATTTCACTTTGCTTGAGATTTACCCTTCTCATTTAATTTTTCTGTTGCTTGTCGTCAAGCTAGTGACAGCAAGGATGTGTTTGACTAATCTCAGGGTCACGGCGTGGTCCGGTTAATGATCGTTGACCTTAGACTGCATGCTGCATACCTTTTGAGACGATTGATTGATACCATCTTTTTAGGACTACAGATTCCCAGGTACCACACACTTACTTATTGACCATTCCCCTTGCTACTTAGCACGCTATTTCTTCTAGATTAAACTTGAACAGTTTGAGGTATCTTGTAATTTTGATATAATTTGTTTGTTTTTTTCTTTAATAGGTATGAATTAAATTAAGCTTAGCGTTTACGTTTTGATATAATTTAGTACGAGTCATTCAGAAACACTGCGTGTACCATACAGAAGAATGTCATTTGATTTAACCGAATAAAATTTTGTTCGTTAGCTCAAAGTTTGAATCAATCACTGGAATTTCGGTCATTCCGACGTAAGCTGGTGGAATGTTGAGCCAAATATATTGATCAAATAACTCATTTATTCTTAGATTCAGTAGAGTAAGTACAAATCTTTTACAGGTTTGCAGAAATAATTGCTATAGTTTCAACTCCCAATGCTTTCTTTGAAAAAGCTATCAGCCGCAACCGTTCTTTTAGCATTCTGTGATTGTAGAGTGACAGGATTAGTGCACATACAAAATAGGTGAACCAGATGTCAACCTACTGGGT